GTAATTTAACATAATATTGTCAGTTAATAATGGCTTAACGACAGTCGGTTGTTGGTTAGGAGAAATAAAATAACCGAAATGAACATTTCCTCTAAAAGTTCATCAGAAAAATAATGATAGGCTAATACAACTGCACCTATTTATGAATAATGCTTGATGATCAAGTATCTAAATAGTCTATAGCAAAGTACAAAAAAAACAACTCATGACACTTGTTAAAAATTATTTTATGCAGGCCTATAAAATTTAATAATAGGCTATATAATAACGTTTTGTTTCAAATGGATGAAGAACAGGCTACTAGTCTATATAATTTATGCAATAGGTGAAATTATGTATGGAAACAGCTCAAGGACATTTTTACACCAAAACTTATGTGACAATTTGTTTTTTAGGGATGACGTCATCATGCACACCATTTTATCGGTAAAAGGCCAGTTGGATGGAAACAGACTGTAGACAGAAATTTTCGCAAAGTTTTTTTACGCATATTCTCTTTGTCGATAACAAAACAGCACAAAAACTGGATGGAAACTTGGCTAGTGATAAAAAGCTAAAGCTAAAGAACCAGGTTCTTTAATATTTTAATGGCACGTTTACATAACTATAGACTTAATACAGCTTGTACTTGTAGTTTGTTAATTTGTGGAGGCAATAAATAATGCTTAATTATCATTAAATCACTACATTTATTTAATTAATTATTAAATACTTATACTCATGCATAAGTGAATATAAATTATATATAATTTATTTCAAATAAATGTAATGTGCTAAAAACTTTAGCAGTTTTTCTCCATCATATTCGTCTTCCAAAGTAGCCAGGTTTCCATCCAAGAATTTTTTGTGAAAAAATATTTAGCGCTTCAAATTTTTTATCGACATAGCTGATGGAAATGACATTTATCAATAAAATTGATCATGTGTCGACATTATCTTTTTCCGTTTAACTTTAGCGCATAAATTCTATAAAGATATTTCAAATGTCGCAAAAAATTCTTTGGAAACACTTTTTGTCGAGAAAAGAGGCTTTAAAGGCAAAGAAATGTGGTGTCACATGGCAGAAATAGCCTATAGGCAGTGTCCATGTTCATGGTGTTGCTCACATTAAAGCACTGTTTCCCTGTAGTTCAAAAGTGCATTAAATCATATTCATATTATTAAATTGCATCTAAAATTATTTTATATTTGGTAAGAAAAAGATGAGTTACCTCTCAAACATACTTATCTTAATTTGATGTTCCTTTAGTAGCCTACATTTACGTTATTTTTTACAGTGCACTGCTCAGTTTAAATAGCCTGTAGTCTGTGCCATTCAGCATGACCACCATACCCCCATGATATTATGCCAAGCACATTTTGTTTTACGTGGATATTGGAACGCAAAGTACAACATTTTAAATTAATATATTTTGGCTTGTTAGTAGCTGTTTATTTATTTTTTTATTCTGTTCTATTCTACCATTAAATTTAAAGTTTTTGTTGTGGAGTGAGGGGAACTAAAATAGCATGGTTTTCAATGTTTGGCTGGCTGTATTTTATTATGACAATTAACAGGCTGTGTTGTAGAGTTAGCAATGCTTAACTGCACAAGTGAGGTGCCGGCATGCTCGCTTGTTTTTTTTTTTCCTTATAAAAACAACTTACACCATCTACACCGGACGCGAGTGGCGCAGCAAATGGTGTAGACACGTTGTTACTATACTCCTCCATTTGTGGTCATATGAGAGTACGACATTATTCAAAACTATTCTAAATATTCATTTATTTGTGTACATGTACATGCTTTTGTAAAATAAAGGAAACAAACAGGATGCCGCTGTCTCAAGAGCGCATCACAAAAATGAGCCGAAATTCTGCATTTAGGCTGATAATTGTTGTTGTTTTTTTCTTTCGTTTTGTTAATTTATTATTTAGAAAAATATATTTCACATATAGGCCTATTTATTTATTTTATATATAGCTTTATTATGTTTTTCTCCATTCGCAGAAGCGCTGCAGGTGCGTGATGTGACCATGTGAATCCTCATGTTCTGTTGTGTATGCTGCTTTTTGCGTGTATAAAATTAATCCCAGGAAAACATATTTAGGCATTTTTATTGGGTCACAGCCATGTATCAATTCAAATTTTATTTAATGTAATTTAACATAATATTGTCAGTTAATAATGGCTTAACGACAGTCGGTTGTTGGTTAGGAGAAATAAAATAACCGAAATGAACATTTCCTCTAAAAGTTCATCAGAAAAATAATGATAGGCTAATACAACTGCACCTATTTATGAATAATGCTTGATGATCAAGTATCTAAATAGTCTATAGCAAAGTACAAAAAAAACAACTCATGACACTTGTTAAAAATTATTTTATGCAGGCCTATAAAATTTAATAATAGGCTATATAATAACGTTTTGTTTCAAATGGATGAAGAACAGGCTACTAGTCTATATAATTTATGCAATAGGTGAAATTATGTATGGAAACGGCTCAAGGACATTTTTACACCAAAACTTATGTGACAATTTATTTAGGCATTTTTATTGGGTCACAGCCATGTATCAATTCAAATTTTATTTAATGTAATTTAACATAATATTGTCAGTTAATAATGGCTTAACGACAGTCGGTTGTTGGTTAGGAGAAATAAAATAACCGAAATGAACATTTCCTCTAAAAGTTCATCAGAAAAATAATGATAGGCTAATACAACTGCACCTATTTATGAATAATGCTTGATGATCAAGTATCTAAATAGTCTATAGCAAAGTACAAAAAAAACAACTCATGACACTTGTTAAAAATTATTTTATGCAGGCCTATAAAATTTAATAATAGGCTATATAATAACGTTTTGTTTCAAATGGATGAAGAACAGGCTACTAGTCTATATAATTTATGCAATAGGTGAAATTATGTATGGAAACAGCTCAAGGACATTTTTACACCAAAACTTATGTGACAATTTGTTTTTTAGGGATGACGTCATCATGCACACCATTTTATCGGTAAAAGGCCAGTTGGATGGAAACAGACTGTAGACAGAAATTTTCGCAAAGTTTTTTTACGCATATTCTCTTTGTCGATAACAAAACAGCACAAAAACTGGATGGAAACTTGGCTAGTGATAAAAAGCTAAAGCTAAAGAACCAGGTTCTTTAATATTTTAATGGCATGTTTACATAACTATAGACTTAATACAGCTTGTACTTGTAGTTTGTTAATTTGTGGAGGCATCCAGACATTGAGTGTTTAATGGAACCATGTAATTATTGGGTAACTTGTTTTGCTTTTGTGCTCTGAGAGAGTGCAGCCTAGCATGAATATTTCTCTATGCGTAGTCAAGTACAACACTAACACCCAACACCCTCCTTTGTCTAAGAGAAAACAGACTGCAAAAATCTCTGTGTTAGAGCCTTTCTAGCTGAAGTGTTGATGCTCAGTGAGGTCAAAAGTGTTCAGTCAGCTCATTTGATTTCATCAAATGTATAAACCGCTATTAAATATTAACAAAGAGAGTGTGAAAACACAAACAGGTGGTCAGATCGCACAGCAAACAATGCCTAAACTTTTCCCTATCTTAACCTCGGCTGCTCCCCGTCCTTGGGAGAATGGAGGTGAGAAGAGACGAGTGGAGGGAGGTGAGGTAGGCAGCCGTCTGAGCGCTTCACATCAGCTCTCCCTCCGTCTGACAGATTGACGGATGAACAAAAAGGACTTTTATCTTATTTTGCCAAGGTCTGGCAGTCATTCAAGGTCTATTAAGCATAAATAAATGCAGCTAGAATGGACACAGCTCCCCACTCCTCCAAATGAACACATATGATTTACAGGAAATCTATAGCTCCTTGTTTCAGGCGAATTTATTAAGGTGTCAGGACATGAATCTGACTGCCTCAAGTGCTAGACATTGGTATCAGAAGACGCTCTACATTATCATAAATCGAAGGATTGAAAGCTCATAACTGCTGGTACAGATCAAGGATACAGGCAGTGTAGATGTCATATCAATTATAGAAATGCAATAAAACGATCAAGAATTTAAGAGGTTTGCCGCAAGTCCCCACCAGACTCGGACGAGATGTTAGAACAGACAGCGCTCATTTGAACTGTCCCATGCCAGTGACAATTTTTGTCTTTTAGTCAGTCCTTTGAGCTTCCATTCAAATCGAAATGTCATTTAGCTTGTGTAAAATATGCTGCTTATTTATTCCCTCATATTTCAGAGCCTTTTTCTCCTCACGGGCCATAAATTAAACTTGATCAATGACCTTTTCTGCTTGACTTGTTTGCGACTTGCCATGTTCAGCAAAGAGCGCAATGGAAATATTTCATATACGCCTGCAAAATGGCAACAAATCACCAAGGATTATTCTCAGCATAAAAGTTTTTTTTTTAAATTATGTATATACAGTATATATATATATGTATAAATGTGTGTGTGTGTGTGTGTGTGTGATTTATTTTAATATTGTTCTTTTGAATTACAATTGAAATTAATTAAATGTACAGTATAAATAAATTAAATAAAATGTATCATAATTTCCACAAAATTATTAAGCAACAAAAACTGTTTTCGGGCATTGATAATAATAAGAACCATTATTGATTATTGACAACCAATAATAATTGCTATAATATTATTTCTATAATATAATATCCTTCAGAAATCATATTAGAACTATTTCTGAAGGATCATGTGATATGGAAATTGCATTAATTTAAAATTATAATAATATTTCACAATACTGCTCACAATACTGCTGTTTTTACTGTTTTTTAATCAAAGTAATGCTAACATATTATTTATAAAGATTAGCATTTATAATTATAGATTTTATATCATTTTAAAAAACAACTTCTATTATAATTCTATAATCAATTCTATATTTTATTATTCAGAAATATAGACAATATGAAATGCTACTGAAATATTATAATATTGTATTGATTGATTATATAAAGAATAAAATGTATAATTATATATTTTGCTGGTTTGTACAGGAATTCCAGTCCTGCAATACCCTCCCTTGCCCGGATCTAAAGAAGACCACTCCCTGGACCCCATGGACGCCGGTGAATATCTCAGACAATGGAGGCCACTACGAGCAGCGGTTCAGGTACACCTGTAAGGCGAGGGTCCCGGAGCCCAGCCTGCTGGAAGTAGGGAGACAGCGGATTGAGATGAGGTACTGCTCCAGCGACGGATCCACGGGATGCTCCACAGACGGTGAGATCTCATTCTGTCTCTATTCCCTGCGATTCTTCATTTGTCACTCAGCTTTTTCCTTTTCTCTCCTCTCATCCTGCTTTTTCTCCCTGTGTCTTTGATGGAGTGAGCCCATAGTGACTTTGAGGCAAGCCACTTGATCTATTTGTCCATCGTTGGAAAGACAACATTATGTGCTCCAGTGCTACTCTCTTTCTTTCTTTCTTTCACTCTCTCTCTCTTTCTCTCATCCATGTGGGCTCACTACATACCTGTGATTTTATAACTGAATTTTCAGCAGCCATTACTCCAGTCTTCAGTGTCACGTGATCTTTCAGAAGTCATTCTAATATGCTGAATTTTGTTTAGTTTTTTTGGGATTTTTGTATTTAACTCTTTTTTTTCAAGATTGTTTGATGAATAGAATAAAGTTCAGCATCAACAGCACTTATTAGAAATATAAATATTTTGTAACATTATAAAGTCTTTACTGACACTTTTGATCAATTTAATGCATCCTTGCTGAGTAAAAGTATTATTTCTTTTTTTTTTAATCTTTTGAACATTGATGTATATTTGTCACCTTCAAATACTTCACCAATTAACCAAAAGTAAATTAAATGGATTTTATTTATAAATATCATATATTTAAATTGATAACTAAACATTTTATTCATTATGTATGTAAAAACATTTCATCAAAGCCAGCTTGTGATGAATTAATTTTCTTTAGATGTTCAAATAAATTCTTAAACTACAGTTACAAACAACAGAAATGTGCTGTTTGTTTGTGTACCAGTTACATCGTAGTTTGGCTTAATGGAAAATCTTCTGAAAGAGGAGAACATATCCTCCAGTTGAGCACCAGCACTTATTTGGTGGAAAAAAGAACTCAACTCAAATAGGAATCAGACTTATCCATTCCTTCTTCAAATGTTTATATGGAAGCAATCATAAAAACTGTCCTTTTTCAGTTTGTTACTGGTGTGCAGGGAATAAAGAAGGAATCCAGACATCAACAAGTGATAAAAGTAAGACACAACCCACATTTGCGCGTGGTATTTGTACGCGTAGAAGACAGCCTCCCTGTTTTGAGGTGCGAGGACCTCAATTTGCCGGTGAAAATGGAGAGAAATCTCAGTGGCATCGTTGTGTGTAATCACATTTCAAGCTAATTACACCGGCAGTGACGGGAAAGCAGGATTCAGTCATTAAAAGGCTTGTGACAATGGTGTACACCCTCTCTAAAGTTGAAGGAGGGGAAAAAGCTCTCTAATTAAATGAGCGCTCATCGTTATGTGTGCTGGAAATATGCTGTCTAAATGGAAATGCTTATTGCGTAGGTATTTTATGATACCTAACGGTGAACAAGACACAATCAGGCAATGCGGAATTTGTTTTGCAATCGTAATTAATCAATAGCCTGTTTTTGGAGCCTGAAACCATCAAAGTAGGGCGTACTGTAGTTTAAAGCTCTTCATGATATGCTGGAAAGCTAATTGCTCCTGCTTAATTTTACAGCAGCTGTTTTCTAACAGGAAATCACATATTTCCTGTAAAGTGACAGTAGCATGACCAACGGGACTGCTTCATTAACAAAGACCTCCAGAGGTTTTAAGACCTGATTAGACTTATTGATATTTTTCTCCGCAGGAGTAATTGCTAACAGATCAGGAATCGCAGCGCAAATTTTATAAAAGCGGCGGATGACAGATTGTACAGCAAACTATGTGAGCGCACTGTCGATCAGTAGCTGTGCTGCGCACTTCACCAAGTTAATTCAGTCCTTGTCTACTTCCATTGAAACGTCTTAGTAGCGCTTAGATTCAATAGCCCCTTTGTACAGGCGATGACAGAATAATACAGATGACTTTCATCAAGCGTATCCCAGCAGGAAGCTTGGAAAAGAACACATCAAATTGCTCTACACCTCCATAAGCGTCTCTGAACCAGAGCTTGTCTGTGACCAATATTCTGACTGTGTCTTTTATTGGTTCCTTCTTGCCTAGCTAAATCTTTATACGTTCAAAGTCAGACCTTTGAAATGCATTATTTTGTTTTGAGAGAGGCAGACGGAGGTCTCGCGGTTGCAGTTGTGGAGGCTCTGAAACGAATTAATCTTTTTTTTGTTGCAGGCCACAACTAAATATAGTAGGCAAATATTTTTTTCAAAATGCACTGAAAATCTAAACCTGAGAAACAGTAATAAAAGTTTTACTAAGTTTTAATAAAATGATTTACAGTGATGCTGTTTGCTAGCTAGTATGCTGACCATCCAATCAAAGGATGAGAAAATGCTGACGTTATCGTTAGCCAGCTAGATGGCCCTGGTGTTGCCAACTCGAAATCTGATTGGTTAAAGCAATGGTTTCATTGCCATTGATTTAAGCAAACAGACGCCTGCACTGTTGATTCTGAAGGCCTTAAGGCAGATTTCTTTGACCCTGGCAACACGATTGCTGAAATATGATTGGATAAAAGCTCTAATATAAACATAAACTGCTGGAAGCAGTGCAACCAAGAGAAAAGGTATGAAATGAAGAGAATAGACTATTGGAAATAATTTAATACACATTCATGGAAAAATATATTAAAACTAAATAAGTGATTCTGATAGTGTTTAAGCCAGCAGAGAAGGCTTTGCTGGCCCTGACGGCCCACCACTGCAGTAATCAGTATGCTAATATTTCATACTAAATGCAGCCTAAATCTACTCATGTCAGTGACTCTCACCCCTCTTCCACAAACCTATCACATGGCTAATGCTAATGTAAAATGAGACTCAGTATGCTTGTTTTCCTTTAATTAGTTCCAAGACAGTCGTAGTGTTTCGTGAGTTGTTCTCTGTTCCCCCAGTTGTCACGGGTGATGACCCTGAGCTTGGCACTCGCTGAAGAGGGGAGGGAGTGAATTGATGGTTCGTTTAGCCTCATTAATTAGAGCAGGGGTCAGAGTGAGAACGCGAGGGAGAAGCAGAGCTCCAGAGCAGATTGTGTGAACAGCCTCTCTTCTCATCAACCCCCAGATTCCCAGCAGTCTTAGCATCTGGATTTAGCTGGTTTTGACACCAGATGATTTCATTGTAGTGATCGTATCAGTGACGTTGTTCATTCAGATTGTGGTACTAGATGAATAAATATTTTGGATGAAATGCAAATTCACTTGTTACCAGGCCATTGTTCTTTTAAGAGATTTATATGTAAATGAGCTGTGCTATGATTGGCTAACCTCTTCAAATGTGAAATGAGTCCCAACCCCACCAAATTTCTGAATATTTAATAGGTGCTGTTATCTAAATCATAATAGTTTTGATATTACAAATGGGATGCCTTCTGAATGACCTGTTTTTGCAGATCATTTTCTACAAATGGTTGTCTTATGGAAGTGTACATAATAAATTTAACTCTTTTATTTGTAATATTTTATTTATTTTAAATCCTGTTTTCCATGATATGTCCCATTTAAATTTAATGACACTAAATATGCTCAGTCTGAATCACTCCTCTTGGCTGAGAAACAGTGAGAGAAGTGTAGAGAAAAAATGTCATGTAACACATTTGCCTTTATTGATATAAACTAATGTTACGCATTTAGAGTGGTAATCACACTTCAAATTATTCAGATATAATTATTCTATTTAATTTGAAATGACAGATGCTCTTCCCAAAATTATTCATGACACAAGCGCAGTAGGATTTAGCTTGTTTTGACACCAGATGATTTCATTGTAATGATCTTATCAGAGGTAACTATGGTGAAGTCGTTCATTTATATTGTGGTACTAGATGAATAAAGTTCCTGGATCTGTTTAAATTAAATGGAGCACATTCACTTTTCCCCCTTAAACCCGAAACACACTGCTTGATTTTTGGCTGTCCCAGACAAAAGATTGACATCGTGAAACAATCGGGGCGATTTCTATGATCGTGGCTCCTAATCAAAGAGTCAAAGACAGGCGTTGTCACAGCCTTGCGACAAAAGATAACCTACGATCATATTCTGACAGTGTCAGAAATACAGCATGATCGTCGCACAGTGTTTTTTTTTTTCAATAGACAATTTAGTTTTATGTGACTGTTTTCTACCCTCTCTCTCATCCTTTTAACAGGCCAATGTTCTTTTTAAGAGTTTTATATGTAAATGAGTTGTGCTATGATTGGCTAACCTCCTAAAATGAGAAATGAGTCACAAACCCAACAAATTGCAGAATACTGAATATGTTCTGATATCTAAATCTTTATAGTTCTGATATTACAAATGTGATGCCTTCTGAATGACCTCTTTTTGAAGATCATTTTGTGTTATGGGGCTACTGTATGTATTTGTATTAAAATTAACTCTTTTATTTTTATTGTTTTATTTATTTTAAATCATGTTTTCCATGATATTTCCCATTTAAATGTAATGGCACTAAACATGTTTATCTGAATGACTCCTCTTTGCTGAGCTACTGTGTGAAAAGTGTAGAGAACAAACGCATTTGCCTTTATCGATATGAACTGTTGTTACACATTTATAGCTGCTCCAAATTATTCCGAAAAATATTTTCACTATTTACTGAAAGAAATGTAGGATGCTAGTCCCAAAGTTATTCATGACACAAGCACAGTAGTAATTTTAGTATGCTCTTTTCCTTATCTTTCAGTGGATGGGAGCTGGTCGTGCTGGTCACCTTGGTCTAAATGCTCAGTGACATGCGGAGGAGGCCACTACATGCGCACACGCACCTGTAACAACCCTCCACCTGCCTACGGAGGTGACATCTGCCTGGGTTTGCATACTGAAGAGGCCCTCTGCAACATCCAACCCTGCCCTGGTACACACACACACTTTATCACGTGCATGAACTCAACCTACGTGAACTCGTACACACTCACACCTTGAATCCGACAGGAAATTACATGACTTTTTTCGGATATGGAAGCCTTTGTCTTGTACCTGCTTTCCTTTCGTCATGTCTCACGCATAAAGTGGCCCGTGGGGGAATGAAAGCAGAGCAAAATCAAAATGTCACACTTCATAGAAAAGCAAATGGTAAAGCCAAGTTTGCGATATGAAGATAATATGCATAAGCTTGCAGCAGGGAGTGCAAGAGAGGAGGGCAAGATAAGGCTATTGATGACAGAGTCAAACCTCACACATTGATCCACGGAAAGGTGAATGGGAGAAGAGAGCTTGTATTCAAATGTCAGTCCATCCATTAGCCAGAACTGTAGTGAGGTTACCGAGTGACCTTTTATTAGCTGCGTTCAGGTCTATCTGTCACACCATTCATTACACAAGCGCATGTGTAGCTGTACAGTGCAGCCGGGAGACAGAGGACGGGATAAGTGAGGGGAATGCTAATCAGAAGACACTGTGAGGAAGTTCTCCTAAACTGGATTCCAAGCTTTTTAGGTTCCATTGTAGAGTATAGTTTAAATTAGCTTGGAGGCCAAATAGATAATCAGTTCACTCGTAAGATAACCACATAACACAATTTCAAGCCTTGCCTGCTGGTAAATAAAAGTCTAATCTGCCAAGAAGATCTAGCTTCTTTGTTTTAAAGCCCCGTTATACTTCAAGCAAATCAAAAATGAACTGATATGACGATTTTGAACAAAATCAGGCCAAAGTCGTGGCCTAATGGTTAGAGAGTCGGACTTGTAACCCAAAGGTTGTGTGTTCGAGTCTCGTACCGGCAGGGATTGTGGGGGGAGTGAATGTACAGCGCTCTCTCCCACCTTCAATACCATGACTGAGGTGCCCTTGAGCAAGGCACCGAACCCCCAACTGCTCCCTGGGCGCCGCAGCAAAAAATGGCTGCCCACTGCTCCGGGTGTGTGTTCACGGTGTGTGTGTTCACTGCTGTGTGTGTGCACTTTGGATGGGATAAATGCAGAGCACTAATGCAGGCCACATGTCACGTCACTTTCCCTTTCAAAATTAAGTTCGTTCAAGGTCAAAACAGCTTGCCAAACTTTACAGAAAAGTTTGCACTGGTTGGTAAACACCTCTGAACTACCATTGGTCTTTGGCGATTAGGAGGGTGTGGATCTGGGGCTCCGCCTTATTTGACATGGAATACCTCTCTGGTTTATTTCTTCTGTTAAGTATGTTAAGGTCAGACACGAGGAACAACATGAACACAGTGGAGATCTGCTTTATAGTAGAAATTGAAGTTGTAATTCTAATTGAAAGCGACACTGACACATTTTTTCAAGTTTAAAGGGTCATGAAACCCTAAAACATAGTTTTTGAAATCTTAACAGATATGTATGGATTGCACATCAGATAAAACCATATTAGCACTCGTTATGTTTATTATTAAGGGCAAGTGGTTTTTCGTTTTTCTGAGCCATTTCTTTCTTCCAGTTTAAAAAGCAAAGTTGATATAATGTAACAAAATGTAGGTTACATGCATCACTGTCATCAGATGCTTTCTTAACTGCTGTTTTCTCACCGTTATTTATGTTTATTATTGAGAGGAAGGCGTGTAGCGCATATTTTTATATTCATCTAAACAGCACTCATAGCAACACTGGCAGCACTGGGTTGTTCACTAACAGTGTTTAGGCGTTTTAAACTTCAGTAACACTTTAGAATAAGGAACACATATTCACTATTAACAAAGAGTTTTCCCTGAACAAACTCCTAATTTGCTGCTTATTAATAGTTAGTAAGGTAGTTGTTAAGTTGAGGTATTGGGTAGGTTTAAGGGATCTTGAAGATGGTCATGAAGAATAAGGTGTTAATATGTGCTTTGTAAGTACTAATAAACAGCCAATATGCTAGTAATATGCATGCAAGTAGTTAATAGTGAGAACTGGTCCTTTAAATAAAGTGTTACCTAAACTTCTTTTCACCCTGAACAACGAAAAAAGAACTTCACTGTGAATATCACTGTGAATATCTCAGGGCCTTTAGAATTAATTTTGGGCAATTTTTGGGCTGGGAGACTAGATAGACCCTGGGCTGGTTTGGAGGGTCTTGAATTCTCCTATTTCAAAACCAGTTAGTTTTCACAACAGTTTTGAAAAGTGTTACAGAAGTGGGCGTGATAAGCTGCGGCATGCAGCGGAAAGAGGTGAGAAAGAAAACACAACAGCGGCTTCTGATCCAGTCAGTTTTATTGCACTCTCCTTGAGTTAAAAGCATCAAAGGTTCCTACAAATGCACATTGCAGTTCACCACTGCACACATAAAAATGAACAAATATATTATACATGTTTTTGTAAGCTCACAGTACATTACATAAATACACATATATCCAGTGATAGCTAGATTTTAATGTTCAAATAAAGGCACAACCATTTGGATTTGAACTCTGCACTCTGAAAATATGAATGTTCTGTTGCATTTTTAATAAGTTTTGAGACTTATTTTGTGACGTTTATATAAGCCATTCGATCATTTATATCAAGAAGCTCTAAAGACCAGTTACATTCATGGTGTGGATGGATCAAGTTTGTGTCAGAGACTCGGGGTATATGGATGAGAATTTATGCCATGCAGAAACACTTACTAGATAGAGAGAGAGAGAGAGAGAGAACTTCACATTCCCTCCCCTCTACATCACTTTGCATCTGATTTGGGCTTGTTGTTGTCATGTACAGAGAGCTGGTCTGATTGGTCCGAATGGTCCCCCTGTGACTCATCAGGGTCTCAGGTTCGCCTGCGACACTGTGACGTCCTGTTTCCCACCGGCAACCAGTGCTCAGGCAACAGCAGTGAAACTCGTGCCTGTCTACCCATCTCCAACTTCATCCCAGGTGGGTACAGAAACCCGCACACATATACACTCAAACACTTGCCATATCGACCCCTGGACAAACAAGTATCTTCCCTTATTGACAAGAAGTAATGCGAGACACACCAAACCATTGATTTTTGCAGTGCAGGGATAATTAGCCTCTCATCCTTTGCCCTGTCTAAGTGGCACGATCGAACAAATGCATTTCGCTGATATGTTTCGTGTAGCATTTGCATTCATACATTCAATAGCTGAGATACTTCCGCTCCACAAGTTTTACAAACTCAAACATGAGCGGTGCAAATTGTAAGAAAGAATATTATATCTGAGTAACTGTACTTAGTTCTCTGATGATGAACTACAATGTACACAGTCACCTCATATTTAATGTGCTCATCTTTAAAAGGATGAGTTATGTGATCTGCCACTTTGTAGAGATAGAAATGGCTAAACGCATGATTGTCAGGGGAGTTATTACCTCGCTTACGATGTAGCACAGGGAGTGGATTTTTAAGGCCATTCTGTAAATCTTGTGTAAATATTGTCTGGCCTACAGAGCCCTCTTGGCTTTCTCAGAGTAACATTCCATTACAGCTCGTTAGAAAAGTTTTATACCTCATTTACTTTCATTACTGATCATAAAAATGCATCGCAGGTGCCACTTTCCTTATTCAGCTCTTTGAATTTTGCGATAATAGGTTGAGTTTGAAATTCACTTGCTGTAATGTTCTGAAACTTCTAAAGATCTCATTTATCAGCCTGATGGATTCATTTCCCTGTTCTTTTCTTGATTTTTTTCTGGTCTCCTCAGAAACGTCTGTTGCACGTTCAAGTCGGGAAGAACAATGGTGTGGAGGTAAGTAGTGTACAAGCAGCCTTATATCACTCTGCAGGGGTTTATTTTGCAATTATGACCGGCTAACTGTACATTATCCCCTTTATTACTCAGCTACTTTCCAAATAAAAAAGTATATGGACATGAAATATTGATTTGAATCAAAATGATCCTATTATTCTAGCTTAAAGCTTAGCTTAGATCAGCTGAAATCCTCCTCTAATAAAAAGCCAAGTAATTTTTTTATTTGCATTAGCTAGCTAACAATATATACACCTACTGTTCAATAGTTTAGAGTCAGGATTTTTTTTTTATTAATACTTTTATTCTGCAAGAATGAAATAAATTGATAAAAAATTATTATAAAGACATTTATATATATATATATACACAAATGATTTATATTTTGAATAAATGCTATTCTTTTGAACTTTCTATTTATCAAAGAATCAAAAAGTATCACAGTTTCCAGAAAAACGTTAAGCAGCGTAACTGTTTTCAGTGTTTATTCAGCACCATATCAGGATATTTAATTATTATGTATTTGCCATCACAAGAATAAATTATAATATAAAATATATTAAAAATAGGAACAAATGAATTTTACTGTTTAATAATATTTTACAATATTACTGTTTTGTATGATGTATTTTAGATCAAACAAATGTAGACTTGGTGAACATAGGTATGGAAGCTGGTTTCCGCCACTGCATAAAAAAAAAAAGACAGGATAATCGACTATTTCTGACTTTTTTTCTTGCAATTGCGATTTTACATCTCCCAATTCTGACTTTTTTTTAATCAGAATTGTGAGATATAAACTCTTTCAGAATTTAAAGAGTTTCAGAATTATATAATCTTGCAATTTGGGAAAAAAGTCAAAATTGTGAGATACAAACTCTCATTAGCGAGAAA